TATTAGGATTTGTTGAAGAAACTGTGGTCAAAATAATATTTTTCTTTACTTAAATTGTCATAACTTTGTCAATTCTTATCGAAAAACAAATATCTTAGTGTCAAAAGATAGGTGTAAGAGTGGGCTACAACTTTATGTTAAACTCTAACCACCGGGCGTTTCGGACGGACAGAGGGGGCACCAAACCACCACCATGCCCGTACGAAACTGAACACTTTTTTCAGAAAAAAAGTTTTTTTTAAAGACATAAGCAATATAAATATTAAAACAAATTGTTTTAAATTTATACTTAACCATTAAAATATATGAGAAATGTATGTTAGCAACAGAGGTGGGTGTGGTGGTGGTGGTTTGATACACCCTAGTATCAAAAACGACTTGACTTTATATTTATATCTTTACTGAAATGTGTAAAATTAGTATACAATATAAAATTATGTTATACATGATCTTACGTCTACAACTGGTGTTTCTATTACGGGAGGGCGTATGCCCCCCCCCCACCATCCTAAAAAAAATATATACAATTACTGTTTTCAAAATTTGAATAATAAATTTAAAAATGAAATTATGAAATTGGAAATAAATTAAAAAATAAATTCACATCAGACAACCATCAAATATGGAATATGAATGTAAAACTCATAGTAGATATGTTGATGGTGTTTTAAAGGGGAAAGAGGCATTTTAATGCCCCTTCCCCCTCTAACCTAATATTATTATTTAATTGGTTATATATTACTAAAAAAATTATACAACTACTATTGTGGGGCTATAATTAAGTCATTTGGCTTTAAAAAACATGTCATCTTTATAACCAAGTATAGCAAATACCTATATTGTTGTCTTTCATGTGATTCTCACATTAACAGAACCATACAGTATGGTTAACGAGCTAATCATTTTCTTCGGTTAATAAACAAATTTTCTGTTTCAAAATAAACATTATTTATGAAAGTCACAACACTTGCAACATATTTTTGACAAGTCACAACACTTGCAGTGTTATTAAATTAATTAAATTGTAATTCACTGGAAACAACATCAGCAGCAAGCTGGATCTTTTTTATGCAATAGTCAACAGTTCCAATATCAGTTTCATCATCTTTCCAGTAAGAAATGGTGTAAATAAAATTATTTTTTCTTTTAATAACTTTTTCTACTCTTTTGCTATATAAAACACTTTTGCATGTTTTTGGATCGTACCATTCATGTTTTAGTTTCTTCCAAACAATTCTATCTGACATGACATCTTCTAAATCAAATAGTTGGTCATTGGACAAGCGCTTGCATGAATTAATAATTTCGTTAAAACTCAATTTGGATTCACGCTCTAACTTTCTTTTTTCTTTTTCATCCATTTTTTGGCGCTTGATTTTTTGTCTTTGGCAAATCTCATCTCTTACTTTGCATCGATGCAGTTGGTTTGTAAATCTGTTTTTATGTGCTACATTAATTGACCATTTAACAATCTTTTTTCTTAAACTTAAATCTTTTAAAAAAATTTTTTAAATCAAAACATTTATTCAAAAAGAAATACTAACACAGCATACAAATACTTTAAATGATATAGTAACTAAAACAATTCAAACTTATCTTCTGATAGTTTGTTCTAAATTGTCTACAGAAAAAAAAGTGTGACTTAAAAAAATGTAAGTATTAAGTATACAAAAATACAACTAACAAGAAATAATATTGTTAGACAACAATCTACACAGGCATAATAAAGAACTGTATTAGAAAACTAATATCATTTATATATGTATGTGTATATATATATATATATATATATATATATATATATATATATATATATATATATATATATATATATATATATATATATATATATATATATATATATATATATATATATATATATATATATAGTGCAGCCAACAACATTGTTGTCGGCTGCACTACAACTTTGGGCATCTAAAACAGTGAAAGAAATATTTAAGTTATACATAAAGATTTAGATAGTGGTCAGATAATTTAAAAACAGTTTAATAAATTTATATCGAAACAACTTATTCGTAAAGATATTTCTTATTAAATAAAAACAACGTTCAATCTTCAAATTAGATATGAATCATCAATAATTTAATTCACATCAAATTCTTATTATGAATATGATATGAAATACTAGATGAAACCTTTATTTTCTTCCTCCATTTTATTTCTAAATCAAATATAAAATCCAAGTCTTATTTTAATATTTACTAAAAATCGTTTTATTAAAGTAATTTCTTTTAAATGAACAAATTTTTTAACTATATTTTTATTCTAAAATATCTAGGTTTACAATACCAATTTATGACATAAGTCAAATATTGCTAAAATGAATACTATATATATAAAATAAATATAAATAAAAACAATCAATGGACGCCTCTGTCTCCCGCGCCAACATCAGGTAAAATGTAAATTAGGTAACAAAAGTGCAGCAAGAAATAAGGTGACTGCTACAAAATATTTTTCAACGAAAATTGGCAGGTGCATAGATAAATGAATAAATTTAATAAAAAAAATGGATAGAAAAATAAAAGACTATATCCTGGACATTAAATTCACCACAGAAGTACAACCAAAATTTTGACATCAATAAACTCGTTAATAAATTAAGTGAGTATAATTAAAAACCAATCGAACTAATGCTTCAACTATTCTTCTTTTTAAAATTAATCTATGTTGATAACGAATACTAAAAAGTTATTCCACAAACCTCAAGCACTCTAACTTTTAAGAGACTACGAAAAACGTGGAACAGAATTTTAGCACAAAACTCGGTTCCGTAAAACGCGATGCTCACGTACCTAATGTTAGATCATCTAGCATCTAGTAGATGTATCTTTTTCTGGAGAAGCATTTGAAAGATTTATTCTTGAATATTTGTTTACATGAGGCTTCTTCTTTCTATTTTGTCAAAAATTTTGCTTATTTCTTTTTCCAGAAAACAATTATTATAATTATACACAATTACAACTTATTTGATTTAAATCAAGAGCTGAAAGATTCATAAAATATGACTTAAAATAAGCAGTTTAATATGACAATTAATAAAAGAAAATGTGAATTAAAAGCATGACTAAAAACACCGCAGATCAATATTATATTGGAAAAAGAAGCTTTACAAGATTTGTCATTTTGGCCGTTTAATTTAAAATAAGGTCTCGACTTTTCGTTGCTATGGCGTTGCTAAGGTAAATAAACAAAATAGCCAACAAAATATGTTATTTTTTATCGTTTTAGTTTTATCAAATCTAAACAAGTCATACATCAGCAGATAGAGGATAAATTTTTACACAGTTACTATATATTACCTAATTTTTCCATTTTTGATCAAAAATCTTTATTTTTCATAGGCCAACCACCTTAATCTCATTCGAACTCCTTAATCTCAGAATGACTATTTTGTGACTTAATTATTTTTAGCAATAAAGTCTTCTGTATTTATTTTTGATTTAAAAATCAAAAATAAATACAGAAGACAAACATGAATTTTTTTTTTTTTTACAATTTTAGTTTTATTTTAATATCTTTATTTAAATGGTCTTGATGAATCGCATTTTTATTTGAGCAACACTAATATTTCCGGAAATGCTGGATTCTATTCTTCTGACATTAATACTGCATCAAATGATGTAAAGTTAAAAAGACAATTTTGCGCCAAAATTACTTGGAAAGGAATCTCTAAGCAGTACATTGCTCCGTCACGCCAAGCAGTCAATGAAGATGAGTATATTTCAAAATGCCTTGTTAGATTGTAGAAATTCATTGAAAAAAAAAATTAAAAAATGACAATATTGTTTTTTAGCCTGATCTAGCTTCGTCACATTATTTGCGTAAAATGCAAGGTTATCTAAAAGCTAAAAATATTGAGTTTGTACCAAAAGAGCATAACCCTGCTAATGTCCCAAAATTCTTGCTAAAGTCCAATTTTGGTTTGAACTTAAAAGATTAGTGTACAATAATAACTGGCAACCTGAAAATCTAAATAAAATTAAAAAGCGGATTGAGTTTTCAATCAACATAGAACGCAAACTGCCGCGACATTTACAAGAGTAGACTTAACCGATCGTCGTCATGGCATGAAAAGCTTATAATTTTTTTAAAATTTATTCTTTAGATATTTTAGTTATTATACTTTTAAAATTATAAAAATTGATTATTCCGTTAAATAGTTATACAATTTCTAATTTTGTCCAGCTTTTTAGTTATCATGTTATTTGAAAAATTCGCAAAATTGTTATATATATATATATATATATATATATATATATATATATATATATATATATATATATATATATATATATATATATATATCGGAAATGTAAAAATAAATAAATTCTTGCACAATAACATAAATGAATCGGTTTTGATTGCTTCCAGAATAGATATTTTTATGACAAAATTTCAATATAACAAAATATTTATATATATTATTTATAGTATTAAAAAAAAAACAAATTATATAAAAAATTATTTATATCATTTTATCAAACCAAATCAGCGTTCTTCAAAATTTGTTCAACTAATCAAAATTAACGAATTTATCTAAACAGCCGGTAGCGATGTTACTTAACTGTTTACAACTCTTGAATTAAGTCACTTTAACCAAACTCTTATTAAGTTACACTAATTTCGACTTATTTTAATTTGAATTAAAATAAACAACTTCCGTTAGAATAAATAAATTTAACTGCATAATAGAAATTGATCTACTATGATCAATTCTTAAAATAACCTATACAAATTCAATCTGTCTTTTACAGAAAAAGAACATTTGACTTGAAAATAAGAAATATTACTCAAATAAAATGCTGTTTTATCAAATTGTCGCATACATTATCTTTTAAAAAAGAAATTCGTCAGCGGAGAACCAAAAGTCCATTTGTTGTGTTTACGAGAAAATCAAGTTTTAAGATTCAATTTGTAAAGATTTTCTACCAGAATCTCCGACTAAATTCTTAAATATTTTTAAAAGTTTTATCATTCTTGAGAATAAATTTATTGGATACATACTGAATGAATTGATGAAAATTTATTGATAATAAACTAAAAAAACATAAAATGTGGAAATACGGCCTTTTGGTTCTTGGCTGACGAATAGCCACTTAAAATTTTTTTTATTCGTGCTTGCTTTTTTTTAAATATAAAAGATTTACACAATTAATAAATGTATTAAATGATTCGTTAACGCTAATCTCACGTTCATTCGAATTTAACAAATATTTCTTTTTAGGAAAACTCGCATAAATCGTATTTTTCGAATCGAGTGTATAAAAAACTTCATTTTCCACTGAGTCTAAACAATAACTTATTATTTATCAAAAAACATTAAATAGCAAACAAATTAATTTAATTATTTCTACTATAATCAATAATTCATTTTTTGAAAAAAAAAATTACCTTTGTTGAAATCAGAGGTTTTCGATAAAATTCCGTTCGAATGTGATACTCTTTTATAAGTGTCGCTTTCGTGTTTTATATCAAAGATTTTTTCATTTTGATATGAAAAAGTATTCTCCTGTTTAATCCATCTATATCCAAACAAATCTATTAAAAAATCGTCATAAAGTTTTATTAAAGTGTCAGAAATTAAGAAGACGAAAAAAGTCAAATTCAAAAACTAAATATCAAAGTACGACGTTTTTCTTCACAAGATATTTATTTCTATAAAAAAAAAATAAAAAAAATAAAAACAACAAAAATACACCTTTAAGTTGTTCTAGAAAAAATTCAATTATTTCATAATCATTAGTCTGGTTGTCAGGCTTTGTACGGACTTTTCGAAACGCATCATTTAATATGGATACAAACATATTCATAATGATCCAAATAACAATAATATTAAAACCATAAAAAAAAACTGGTCCGAGAAAACTGTTCGCATTTTTATATTGAATAAAACTGAATCTTCCCAACAACAATGAAACAACAGAAGTTATTGTATTTAAGAAGGTCTTATAGTCATCCATAAAAGGCCCTAAAAACATTTGTTTCAATTAAACTTTTTTAAACTACAAAATACAAGATTGATTGGAGCAAACTGGAACAGATATCCCTATTTCAGTTTGCCCCCATCAATCTTGTTGGTTGATTGGGTTGGAGTTAAAAATGAATGAGAGTAGCAAAAAAACAAACAAAAAATTTAAAATTTCATTTTAGCCAGCAAAAAAATCAAATAAAATAAAAAGAAGTGTAAATATTATACAGGATTTTCACAAAAGAAACTTTTTTGACCAAAAAATACTTATCACCATGAATGGGATAAGAGCATGAATACTAATATTATGTTATATAAAAATCAATAACTTTATATAAAATTAATGTAGTTTATATAAAATAAAAGTTTTTTAATTTTACCAAATATAATGGCAGAAGAAGACACAAAAGAACACAGGATAATAAAAAAGACAATTCCAAACATAGTTAAAGGGTACCATGCAACTTTTAGGGTATATGACACCATTGAAATACGGCGATTGAACTGCAAAAGCTTGATGAATTTTAATGTCACAAAAAAAATAACGATTGAAATAAGATTAACATAAACAAGATCCCAGTAGGATGCAAACTGAAAATTGATAAATGTTTGTGGTTTTTTGTCTGGCAGCCGTTGCAATAACATCTTGACCAGATAACCTTAAACAATATTATTATATGTAAAAAACTTCAATTCAATAATTTACTAACAACTTTATATATAATAACATTAGCAAACGTAATGTTGCTAATGCTAATAGTGTTAGTGTTCCTATATATATTAAAGTACTCTGTAAAGCAAAATTCCTAGTTATGTTAAAGTACTCTGTGAAATAAATTTCCTAGATATGTTAAACTACTCTGTGAAACACATTTTCTAGATATGTTGAACTACTCTATAAAACAAACTATCTAGATATATTAAACTTCTCTGTGACACAACTTTGTTTGAATTTTTTTACAAGTATTAAATCGTGTTGTTAAGACTCAGATTTACATACTTTAAAATAATTTTTTTTTTTTTACAATATTATGAATTTTTACCCCTGAGAAATGGAATAATAAATCGTTAGTTCAGCAACAAAAAAATGTTGTTATTATTGGCCTGTGCAACTATTAAAAGCACTATTTTAAAGGAGTTGTTTTTTTAGAAATTAATTAAAATGTTAGTTAGGACTTTCAATGATTTCTAATCAAGTTGAATGAAAACTGCTATTAGAGTATTAATTACTACCTGTTATAAATATTTACTAACATTTGGACCCTAGTTTTTTGTCACAAACCATAAAAAAGCCACGAGATTCATCAATAGATATTGAGATAGTTTCTATGTAAGCTCAAACTTTCAGTGTTTACTTATATTATAACAAGATACTTATTGAAGCAAAATCATTAACTTAGCTTAAAGTATGAAGATGTTATAGCATAAACAACTAATTAGCCAAAATTTATCCCAAAATCGCTCACTTTAGACCATAACTCTGCTAAAGAATAAAATCAAAAAAATTTATTGCTTCAATGAGTTTATCATATATATTACTACAACTGTACAAAATTTACAAAGCACTACAACAAGTAGTTATTCAAATATTTATTGCAGCATGCTAAAAATAGCATTCTGAGAAAAAAAAAATTAAAGATAATTAAAATTGAAAAAAATAAGTTAAAATATTAAAACAAACTTTTATTTCATTTCTAAAGTGTTTTTATCACTCCTCAATGTAAGAGCAGTAGTCTAATTTTATAAAAGCAGTAGTCTAATTTTATAAAAGCAGTAGTCTAACTTTATAAAAGCAGTAGTCTAACTTTATAAAAGCAGTAGTCTAAACTTATAAAAGCAGTAGTCTAACTTTATAAAAGCAGTAGTCTAACTTTATAAAAGCAGTAGTCTAACTTTATAAAAGCAGTAGTCTAACTTTATAAAAGCAGTAGTCTAACTTTATAAAAGCAGTAGTCTAACTTTATAAAAGCAGTAGTCTAAACTTATAAAAGCAGTAGTCTAACTTTATAAAAGCAGTAGTCTAAACTTATAAAAGCAGTAGTCTAAACTTTATAAAAGCAGTAGTCTAAACTTATAAAAGTTTTTTATAAGCTTTATTTATGTGTTTAAATTACATACAGAAATTAATATTCATGTTTAGCAAAACTGAAAAATTTTAAAATTATAAATAAATATGCTATAAAATGTAAAAATTCTGGTTACCCTATTTTAAATTTCAATAAAAATATCAACTGGAAGATTGAATTAAACTAAAATCACTAAAAACATTCAGCATCATAAGTTCATCTCATTTTATTTACCTTGATCAATTTAAAATTTTCATTTTGCTTTAATTTGTTTCCAATGTTGGTTTAATTCATCACTTGATTTTTTTTCTATATTTTGAATTTTTTATCTTTTTGATTGCAAAACGTTATATAATTATTACCAGGATTATTAGTTCTAAATAAACATTTAGTTTACCCCTTTATCTTTTAAACACCATTTTTAAATTTTGGCAATTAAAGAAATTTTATTGTTTTGAGTTTTTTCAAGGCACCTTTCTAACATGTTTTTATCAGATAAATCAATAAATATTAGCTTGATTATGTAATTTCAACAGGTTGTCTTGGTTTTTTTATTCGCACATGTTTCAATAATACTTTTTGCTTAAATTTTGCACCAGGTTTTAATAGTTTCACAACACATTGAATGTCTTAATTCTGAAAATGATGCCTCAAATTCACAAAACCACCACTTTTGTAACGTTCTTTTCCAATTTCATGCATTGCAATTACTAAATATAGATTTATATCAAAAATTATTAGAATCTTTATTTGAAACTTTTTTACTGGTATAAGGCTTCATATTTCACAAACACTCAGTGCACTTAAATAGCAACAAAGAACTTAAATTTTTTTTTTATATACTATCGATACGCATGTTAATAGACTTCATCTCACAGTCAGGGCATGCTCAATGAAAGGCAAGAGATTGTATAATAATATCAACATCAATTAAAAGATTATTGTGAGGTTGATTGAGATTGTAAATTTAGGCACAAAAAAAATAATGATGATTATTCATTCATATTTCAAAAAAAATTAGCAATATATATATGTATATATATATATATGTGTTTATATATATATATATACATATATATATATACATATATATATATATATATATATATATATATATATATGTATGTATATATATATATATATATATATATATATATATATATATATATATATATATATATATATATATATATATATATGTATGTATGTATATATATATATATATATATATATATATATATATATATATATATATATATATGTATGTATGTATATATATATATATATATATATATATATATATATATATATATATATATATATATATATACATACATATATATATATATATATATATATATATATATATATATGTATGTATGTATATATATATATATATATATATATATATATATATATATATATATATATATATATATATATATATATGTATATATATATATATATATATATATATATATATATATATATATATATATATATATATATATATATATATATATATATATATATATATATATATATATATATATATATATATATATATATATATTGAATTATATTCAAGAAAAAAAAGGTAATATAAAACTCAATTAACTGACAATAATTATATCAAATTTTTTATGAACTCAATTCTCCAAGTTATACATTATAAATATATTTTAATAAACATAAAATTACTCAACTTAATCTTTTAATAAGCATAAATTTATTGAACTTAATATTGGGAATATTACCTTTTCCCTTTAAACTAAAAGTTTGAGTAACACTAATTTACAGCGTATTAATTTGTAAGCACATGCTAATAAACATTATTCTTAATTAACAAACATTATTCATTTTTAATAGAATAAAATAAGAATTTTTTTAGAACTCGAATAGAATTTCTGCCATCTTTCATACAACAAATTGACAAAACATATAGATTATTTAGCAAATAACATTTTAGCAGAGTATGTAATTACTACTGCAAAATGACGTTAAAGACTAATTAGTAAACAACATTTTAACAGAGTACGTAGTTATTACTGCAAAAGGAACTAGTTATAAATTAAAAAAAAACTTCTTATTAAACTTTAGCAGTTTAATCAAATTACTTTAATATACAGACTATAGATCCTTAGGCAGTAATATATTTTTGCAAATTGAACGACAGCCTATAGATTAAACTACTTTAATTAAAATGCTAAAGTTTAATAAGAAGTATTTCTTTAAACTATACATTTCAACAGAGTATGTAGTTATTAATAACCATATTATATAGTTATTAATAACTAAATATTCTATATATAGTATATACTCTGTTAAAATGTTGTTTACTAATTAGTCTATAATGTCATTTTGTATGTATGTTACATACTCTATGTATAGGTAAGCCTACATTTGTAATAAAGTTTGTAAAATAAAATAAATTTTCTAACAAAGTATATGACTACACTTAGTATATATGTAGCATACTCTATAGACTATAGAGTATAGAGTATACTATAGTATAGTATAGAGAATTCAATAATTTATAGGTACATTTATGCTATATTTATCACAAATTTTAAAAAATCTTATCGCAAATCTTTATAAAAAAATCAATATGTGTGAGCTGCACCAATATTTTAAAGTTAAACTAAAGTTAAGTTAGCTCCTACATAGCGTAACTTTTCTTGCTTAAATCGAGCTGAGCATTTTCTTAAGTTTTGTGAATCCCATATTTGTTAAAAAAGTTTTGTTTTTTGTTAGAAAAGATGTTAGAAAAGTTTTGTTTTGAAAAAAAGTTGTTAGAAAAGTTTTTTTTTTTGTTAGAAAAGTTTTGTTAAAAAAACTTTGTTAGAAAAGTTTGTTTTTTATTAGAAAAGTTCTGTTTTTTGTTAGAAAAGATGTTAGAAAAGTTTTGTTTTGAAATGTTAGAAATCCATAACTTGGACTTACGCAAGATAAATCGTAAGTTTTTTGCGCAAGTTTTGTGAATATGAAATAAGTAAATTTGTCGTAAGTTCCGAACTTACGCCTAACTTACCCTTAAAAAAGTTTTACTAATAAACAAAACAAAGAAATCAAAAGATTTTCTTCACAGAACCTTAAGCTAAAAAAAAAATTAAAATGTGACATCTTGTGACTAGTGATGATCTTCTGATCTTGTGACCTATCCATTTTAATATATTTAACTTAAGTTCATAAAACTGACAAACATTTAATGAAAATTGCTATGTTAACAAATAACACAAACCTCATTATGGAATGGAAAATCTAATTTACTTCTAACAAGGCTGTGAGCGATTCACTCCTAACTAAAAATGGTTGTGTGAGCAGTCACTGTTGGGTTTGGCGTTTCTTAAAAAGAAAGAATAGAGTTAAAGAACAAGGAAATGGTTAAAAGAAGGCTTAAAAAGTTGTAAGTTGGACAAGTCAGGAAAAGATGCAGAGATGACAGAGCTCCAAAAGATTGAAGTGTTGGGGAAAAAAATTTAGACAAATAAAGGTTTTTAGAGCATAAAGGAATACAATAAAAGAATGCAACTTGGCTAAATGACAAGTCTAGTGGAATTAGTTTTGGTTGATGGAACAAGAGATAATATCTTCTTTGCGCAACAACAATGATAGTATTTGTAGAAAAGAGAAAGAAATGCAACCTTACAATAACAGAAAAGTTTGGGAGAAAAAGCAGGTCCAACTACATTTACAATACATATTTGGACTTCTATAAAATAAAGAGCATCATTAGAAGTACCAGCCCAATTATGATAACAGTCCTGCAGCCGTTTTTCAAAATGCCTTAAGAAGCTTATTATGTATTTGGAGAAAAATGCAATAAAAAAAAATTATTACAAGAAACTCTCTGTAAAACGTTTTTTAAAATTAACAATATTTCTGAATTTTTCAGAACTCTTCGAAAATATATATTCAATAATGTTTGTAGACATCTAAACTGGCTTATTTTGTAAAAAAGTCAAAATTGATTTTTTTTTACCTTATTGCGTTTTAAAAATGGCTGCAGAGTATTCCATACAAGGACAAAGCAAGATTTGTAGATTTAGGGAATGCAATTAAGAATAAGATAATAATAAGCATGATAAGAAGAAGCAACCTTAGAAGATCCTTTGTAATCGATTGTATATATGATTTCCATAAGAGGTCAGTAGTAAATTATAATCCAATAAGACATAAAGTAGAGAACTCATTTGCCATTCATTGTAGAAATGTAGAAATGTCAACAATTTTGCAATAGTTGCATGCAGTTTTATTATAGTTAAAATTCACAAGCCACTGTAAGCCCTGATCTGTTTAAAAAGTGAGATCAGATCCAACATTGGTTGCCTGTTCTAAGAGATTGAAAATGAAAGACTTTTTTGGCACAAAAGGATAATTAAGTTGAGTTGTCAGTAAATAGAGCCACTTTAGATTTAAGATTGTCGGGAAGATTAATGTAGATACAAAATACAGAACCAAGAAAAGAACCTTGAGAAGTGATATATTGTAACCCTAATTTTTGTTCTTCATTACATAATTAAATAAGTAAAAACACTTCGGTCTGTAAAATAAACGATTCTGTATGATCCCTACAGATTTAATAAAAACTGGATCATTATTTAAAATTTGAAATCAAATGTAGTAACAGTTCAAAAATATCAAATTTATTTAAAGTTGATATGGCCAATTGGTTTGCACATCCCTTTTTCTGTAATTTACTGACCCATCTGTACCTTATGCAATAATTTTTTTGACAGATCTGTAAATTATGCAATAGTTTTTAAATTATGTATTTTTTGGATTCCATGATTCCTTTATGCATATTTGCATGGTATAATTATAATATGACCCCAGATTTTATTCTCCAAATCTAAGAAAATAATATAAAAACCTTCAGGCTGTAAAATAGATGATTCTGGACAATCGTGACAGATTTTTTTTTTTTTTAATTTGGGTTTTTTATTTTCTTATAGTTGTTATCACTATGAAAAATTTCAAGTCAAATATAATAACAATTCAAAAGTTATTAAAAAGTCAGTATGCCCTCAAAACTATATAAATTAGTAAAAACCCTCTGTAAAATAGATGATTTTGGTCAATACAGACAGATTTTTTTTAAAAAATTTTAAAGAATTTTCTTTTTTTATAGAAGGTGGGTCACAAGTCAATTGTATTAACAGTTTAAAAGCTATTCAAAAGTCAATAATACTCTCATTTTCGATGCCATAACACAGCAAATTTTCCATGCTTAAGCCTTATACCTTTTGTCAAAAAATCATAAATTTTTCCACTACAAAAAGTTCAATAACTTTTGATCCGCATTACTTCAAAAGCCAAATGACCCCTCATTTTTTAAGTCAAGCCAAGCTCTATACAATGACAATATTATTTAATATTGTCATATAATTTAACTATAATATAATTTAATTATAATCAATATAATTTAACTATAATATATTTGAACTATAAAAAAAAATCATCTGGAATGACTAACTAAATGATTAAGAGCTTTGAAGCTCAATAAAGCTAAATATACTTAAAATTTGATATACTTAAAAATGAAATTAACATCAAAATTTACATCACCACTTCTATTCATCCCAGAAACCTAAAACTAATATTTTTCAACAACAAAAAAAAATGTTTTTGACTTATTTTAAAAAAATGAAATCAAAAATATTTTGCAAAAACTTTTATTAAAACTTTATATTTTTTAAACATTTTATTGTCTTGAACTTTTTTGAAAAAAAAGTTTGAAGAAATAAAATGCATGAAAATAGAGATTTAAAAATAATTCTATGAAAGCTTTTGTAGAATTTAAAACTAACATTTAGTTACTAATTAAGAAATAGTTAAAAAAATCATAAACTTTTTGCAAATTTTATTATGATATCATAATGATCATTATGATATCATAATGATAAACAATAACATGTTTGAAAAGATAATATAATTAATTTAAAAAATATAAATTTAAATATAATGAATTAAATAATATAAAAATACAAATATAATAAATTAAAAAAATTTCAACTTTATTTTAAGCTAAAAATATTTCAAACCCTTAGCTTCAAACATGCGACCATAATTAAACAGTACCATAATTAAAGTTAAAAAATGGTATCAGTAAAAGTTTTAGGATTTTTGTGTCATCTTATAAAGATTAAAGGTTTTTAAGTATTTGTAGATTCTGTAGTTGAGAAAGATTTAGCAAAAAAAAGCAAGTTAAAAAGATAACGATTAAAAGATTAAATTGATTTTGCATCCATAATCCTAACGTTTATAAATAAAAAAAATGAAAAAAATTTAAAACTTATTTTACATTTTAATAAAAGATAACAATTAAAAATAATAGTACATTTTGAAGGTTGAAAAATAATACAAAATTTAACGATGGAAAAAAAAAAGTTACCTTTAAAAAAAAAAAAACCAACTGCAATTACTGAAAACAGTATCATTAAACTTTCTACTAAGCTCCAAAACTCCAGAAAATATTTACAACCATGATACAAAAGATGACAATGTCGAATGGTCAATACTAAAACCATTAAAATAAACAGAACATGCCAGACATATATATCTGTTCCTGAAGAAAACAACTGAAATGTAAGTATAGAAGAAGTAGGCACAACTCCACCAGAGGCAGGAAATTCCAAGGCCATTGTAACCATGGTAAAATAATTAGTAGCAGCATTAAACAAAGCAAACTCAATTATTACAGCTCGTGTTTGTCTATCAATCCATCTTGAATTCTTTAATTGTTCCAGTAAAGCCTTGTTTTTCCATTTAGGAAAGATTTCTAAGACATAGCCTCCGCCATAGTAAATATCTAAATCTGCTGCATATGGATACCCATCAAGCTCTTTCCAAGTTTGATATCTCCATGGCATTGTGGAAGGAATAATGGGAGAGTTATATTGTTTTGGAATTTTCCAATTTAAATCAAAATCTCTTGTTTCTTCAAGAGATGATGCATATGATGACAAACAATCAACTTTGATAAATTTAGACATCAAGTATGCTTTCTTGCAAGAATCTAAAAATAATTTTAAAATGTTAAACACAGTTAAAAAATAATTTAATAATGGAATATAAAACTGTAAATTTAGTTTCAAAAATGTAATTAAAAAAGCTTGAACAGTAGTACATACGTACTATATTTACATAGCAGTTTACATATGTAAATATGTACACTAATATGTACATATTTACATATGTGCATATGTAAACTGCTATGCACATGTTTACATATGTAAACTACTTTGTACATATTAACATATGTATATATCAGGCTTTCACAGGAAAGGCGTGCGGTCGCACGCCTTGTTTGTCCACGCATAGAATAAATTTTTCTGACTAACTGACCACGTTTTATTATTATGCGTTTCAAGAATTTGCGCCAAAACAAAGCTAAACGAAAATACCGCAAAAATGCAAGCAATCTTAAAGTAAATAACAGAAATCTGTTTGTGCTTTAAAATTAAAAAATTAATGTATATTATTAAAAAAAAATTTACCTATATTTTATATTTTTATTTTTTTAGGGTGGTAGTTATTTAAGCTATGAAAAATCAAATCAATAAGAAAAATCAAATCAAAAAGAAAAAGATTAATGTTTAAAGAAAATAAAAGGACCTTTTAATGTAAAATTTGTTTATGACTTTTATCAGTCAGTAATACTTTAAAATTCACGCTAGAACTATAAACAATTTTTAAATGTTTCGTAAATACATTTAAATGTTTAAATGTATTGATTTTAATGTTTGAATGTATTGATACGCAAGAAAACACGAAAACGATTATTTGTTAGTAAAATATGTTTTTTTTTTTTTTTTAAATATAAGAAGATTTTATTGTCAAACGATTGAGTTGCTTATTTTGCAATCATTAATTGACATTGTAAACAAGTGTTAATATATAATAATGTCCCGAAGAAACTGTTTTCGTAACAATGACAACAGAAGCAATGCAATTATTTTATTAACTTCTTTCGAAATTACAAAATTATGCAATTGAATAATTTCAACGTAATAAAAGACGAGCATTGACTCAGTATAATCAGTTTTAAATAAGTCGAAAAAGAACTATATTCACATTAAAATTTTTTTATGTTTAAAATCTTAAATAATATATTTAATAATTAGAACAGCAATTTATTTTCTTGTCTAAGTATTGGGGAATAAAGTCATTGCCTTTGCAAAAACCTTCGTAAAAACAAAATTAAATGAAAAAGTTTAACCAAATTTGTCTAGCGTAAATAATGAATCAGTTTTTTAATACATTGTCTTATAAAGTTCGTGAATAAATTACGTATCAAGTCTTTTTATTTTCGTGAAAACTTTATGACTTATCGTCGTCTTTTCCTTGACTTGTATCAAATTTCGTAGCTGAAAATAGCAACCCTAATAAAAGAAAACAAAAACAGTATAAAAATTTTGAAAAAAATGTTCAAGACTTTTTTTTTTTTTGTTACAAGAATTTTTTTTTTTTTAATTTTTTTTTATTATCAAAATATTTTTCTTACATCCAATTTCAATTTTATACTTTGTTTAGACTTCGTTTCATTTTTTTAATATTATTTTTTATTTTTTGTGGATAATTTCCGCTTTCTTACGAAATAATGCCGCGGTCACGTTTTCTGAAAAATTTATTCTATGCGTGGACAAACAAGGCGTGCGACCGCACGCCTTTCCTGGGAAAGCCTGATATATGTAAACTACTTTGTAAATATTTATATATGTGCATATGTAAACTACTATGTACATAGGTAAACTACTATTCGCATATTTACATATGTACAATCAATGCCAAAACACCAACCAATTTTTTTGCAAAAAATTTATTTTGAATGGGTTTTCATAACATTTCACTAAAAATTAAAACCCTATTTCTACCTGATTATTTACTGCTTATATTATTTTGATTTATACTACTTTTTATGTTAAACATTTTATATTAAATCTAATTTGATTTAATTCTTCTTTACTCAAAAACTTCATATTTATATTAATGTCATAATCATAATTTAATAATTCTAAAAATTTATTAGGATTTTTAAATAGAATAGAAATATAAACTAGATGTATAAAAGGTTGACCTAAATCTGTATATACATAAAACCTAATGTGTATTCATTAATGATGCAATATGCTAATCTAGCACTTTTTACATTTAATACATAAATGTATAATATAGTGATAAAAATGTTCCAAAATGACATCAATAAAAAAATAATTATGAAGATGTCACCATTTAGACTGACTCATGGAGCAAGTTAAAATGAGTGTAAGATGTATAAGGACACTGGAGAAACAACAAATCAATCTGGATCAAGAAGAAGTGAAAAACTACAAACAAGAAAGATAGGTACACTGTCTAAGCTCTCAAAAGAAAATGCTGCGTCTATTATCAACATCTCTGGAAAACTATAAGTAATCAAATACAAACAAAGTGCAAAAACTTGGATTTTTATATTCTGACTCAAAGATTAATACTTCAACAGTACAGCGCATATTTGGAATGGACTGTTGCCCAAGTTGATTGATCTGATAAATCTCCTTCTGTATTTAGAACCTTAATAAAAGAACCTCTGTTTAAAATTGTTAAATCCAAAGTAAACTGCAAAAGTTGAAAAACCTTGGACTAGTGGTCAATTAACCATTGTAAATTAGATTGAAAAACTATAGTCAATACACTATGATAAAATAATAATTAAAAAACAACATAAAATGATGAACTTTGTTTTTTCAATTGCATTCAAAGGGCATGAATATTATAAGAACCTTGCTGCAAAAGGTCATCAACTACTAAATTAAGACCAAGTACTAAATAAGGAAATTTAGTTCCAAAGAAATTGACTCAAGATATTAATATAATATTAATAAAATTACTCTGCCAGCAATGTACTTTTATGGATGTTTTAAAACAATATTTTTTACTAGTATGGAGTTAATAAAACAATATTATATATTGACTGTCAACATGTAATATTGCTAGTATTCTTTTATGTCAACATATGTCAACATGTAGTATTGCTGTATGTCAACATGTAGCATTGCTGTATGTCAACATGTAATAATGCTAGTATTCTTTAGTAACATGTAATATTGCTAGTATTCTAAAAATGCTAGTATTCTGGCACTGAAAAGCTAAAAAAGTTTATCAAAATTATTATTTAAAAATTTTATTATGTAAATTTATACAATGATTTTGACGTTAAAAAATTTTTCTTTACATAATCTGCAAAAAAGGCAGTTGCAATTGCTTTTAGTTGTTGCTAAAGGGCAGATCTTTTTATCAAGACAGTTGCAATTGCTTTTAGTTGTTGCTAAAAAGCAGATCTTTTTATCAAGGCAGTTGCAATTACTTTTAGTTGCAGTTGTTAAAATCAGGTTTCGCTCATAAGCTTTCTTATCATCCTAACTTAAATTCAACTCATGCTAAGCACCTTAAACGAAATATCATTTGGTTTAACCCCCCTTCCAGCAAAAACGTTAGCACAAAAAGTTGCAGTTGTTAAAATCAGGTTCTGTTCATAAGCTTTCTTATCATCCTAAATTAAATTCAACTCATGCTAAGCACGGTAAACAAAATATCATTTGGTTTAACCCCCCTTCCAGCAAAAATGTTAGCACAAATATAAGAAAATTTTTTTTAACCCATATCGATAAACACTTCCCTGTTAATCGCAAGTTCCATAAGGTTTTCAATAGAAACACAATAAAAGTAAGTTACAGCTGCATGCCAAATATAAAATCTATCTTAAATGCACACAATGTCATATTTTACACAACAACAAAATTACAACTAAAAGCAATTGCAACTGCCTTGATAAAAAGATCTGCCCTTAAGCAAACAAATGCCAAACAAATAACATTGTATGCCAAATTAATTTAACCTCCAATGATCCTGCCCAAACTTCTATAAACAAATTTTACATCAGTATAAGTAAAACACCTTTTAAAATTAGATACACTAATCACATAAAATCATTTAATATTATCAGGTATAAAAATGACACTGAGTTATCAAAGGAGTTTTGGAAATTAAAGGAAGCTAATTTGAATCCTATAGTTAAATGGAAAATAATAAAACAGTTCAATGCTTATAACCCTATGAAAAAACATTGTAATTTATGCTTAAATGAGAAATATGAAATTCTATTCTCTAGAAATCCAAACTTATTAAATAAAAGGAGTGAAATAATATCTAAGTGCAGGCATAGAAACAAATTTTTTCTGGCTAACTTTGATACCGATAATTAATCCAGTTTCTACGTTACTTTTTGCTTTGTTTTGACGTCAGAACCCATTCTATTGTTGTTTTTGCATTTTATATTTTTAACTGCTTTTCTTGATTAAAAAATATACATATGGCTGATGATTGCCGAAACGGCATGAAACTTTAAGTTCCATCATAAAGTTGTATTTTTTCATTTAGTTAAATTTTTATATATAATTGATGATCTATTTTGTAAATAATTAATTTACATTATATTGATCACTCTAAAAAAACGTATAAGAGGCTTTGTATCTCTGGTACATGACACTATGAATATATATGTAGAGAAATCAAAAAACCTCATTTCAAGTATTAAGTTATTTTGTAATAAACAGTTTTTTCGGTTATATATATCTTAATAACTTTTATAGGAAGTTAAACATTCAAGACTTATATAATTATATAGTATTGTATACACAGCTGAAAATTACATAAAAAAACATCTGTATTAATAAAACTTTTTTTACACACAGCTGAAGATTATATGAAGGCCCTTCTGTGTTTATAAAAAATTGTATTGATCTTAATGAACTGTATATTTTTATTGATTTTACTCATATACTTTACTTATCATAGTTGGAACTTTTTTTTTTTCCTAATTATATATACAGTATGCAAAGAAATTAATCGTACACTTAAAAAAAATTCATAATTTTAAAGATTACATCAAAAAAATGAGTTGTCCGATAAAATATTCAAAAATTTTGTTTAGATATCTTAACAAGTGTTGTTTTAAGAACTTATTTGTGTATTGGT